TCCTCATCTCTATATATATATATATATATATATATGGGATTTGATACTAAAGTTTTGAGTGAAGTGCCTATTTCCTATTAGTAACAATAATCGCCATTACAACTTACAAAAGAAGGATCCGAAGTGCAGGCATCTACTTAAAATGATGTCAGATTATGAATAGAATCGACCCACCTAGGTTTAGAATTTGGATTTCATAATTGGAAGTTTGAAGCTTACTATTAGCTCCTTTGCGTATCTTTATGCAGTTTCTTCATCTTTGATTCATTTTTCAGCTACCAGGTTGAAGTCGCGTAGGAACTCAATTGTTCCAGCCGTGAAAGAAACAAACAACCAAAATAGATTGCAACACTTGTCAATGTTGCTTTTAGTTTAAAAAACAAGATGATATGAACCCCCCCACCCAACAAATCTTCACCATTATTTTTATAACCAATCTTCACAATTTAATGAAATAGAAAAAAGCAAAGTAGGAATGTGATATATATATATCCTTTTTATTTTGGGTGGGGGATAATACGTTTTTCTAGCTTTTATGTAATCCACATTTTGTACCAAAAAAAATAGCATTTGTCACCAACAAATTAAGATAAACACAGTTAGAGATAACTATATTTTTTAAATTTGTTATAAAAAATTTAATTTATGAACATGTCTATGCATGAAGAAGAGTAGTTGGTTAAAGATAGACGAAAATATAAAATAAAAAAATAGTATGGCTCATTAAGTTGGAACCGAAATGTTAGGGAGTTTGTTCATCTCAATGGGTACATCACATTCTGTTTCTTTTTCTGTCTGTCATTCAAACTCAATACTCATCATGTTCGCATCTCCATCGCCATGTGCTGCTCCCTTTAATTTTCCATCTATATTTATGGCCATGCATCGATCTTATTCCTCTATCCAACTCTCTTTCATGCAAAACGGACAATTTGACCACATAATATAATAAACCATGATGATACAATTCTTTTCATATTTAATTTACAATAACATATTTATTCGCGCCTACCCCATGTTCTGTGACCCTGTTTATATTGCGTAGAAACTTTAATAGTTGACTTAAATTAAGGAATGCCTAATTGCGTGTAGAGTGTATACTCATGGCAATTTTTAATGTCTCAAATTTCAACATTTAGTCTTTTACATTGTCCGGTCGCTGAAACTTAGCATCCTACGTATGGCAATTAATCTAGGATCTCGCACACCTAAATCTTCTACTATCATTTCCATGGGTGCCTCGGAATTTCCTTCAAAGTGATATGTATAAACTAAAATAGATTTGAGTCAAGTACTCTGCTGGTTGACTTAAAGAAAGCTTTTAATATATCAAATGGTCCTCTTTCAAATTTAAAACAGCTAGCCTCTTGTATACCCATTTCACAAGAAAAATAAAAAATAATGTAATTTAAAATAAATTAGCCAACGAGTCATATATATAGATCATTTTTGACAGCTTGTGTCATCTCTCATGGAAAATTTATATTATATCTACTTTAAAATAAATGTTAAGCAGTGTAAAGAATTTATTAATTAAAAATCCTTATACTTATGGACATGAATTAAATAAATTTTAGAGGCAAAAGGTAATACATAAGTTTGGATTTTGATTTTATTTCCTCTGATAAAACAAAAAGCAGGGAGAAAATGATGAGTGGAAGTTGGAGGCGTGGAATTTTTTATTGATATAGAATTTTTTTTAAAAAAAAATTACCAAAAAGGCATCTCTTCAACTTTATTTACACATCTAACACCATTTACATACTCAGAATTCGGTTCCCGGAGAACCAAATTCTGAGCTTCAATTTTTTTTTGTGCTCAGAATTCGATTCCGGGGAACCGAATTCTGAGTAGTTTTAAAACTTTTTTTTTTGTTTGTGGTCCAATTTGTGCGAATTTGGGAAGTTCAACGGCCTGCTCCGGAAGCAGAACGGGTCGTTCTGCTTGCACACGTAGAGTGATATTTTTGAAAGTGGAACGGTCTGTGCTGCTTCCGGAATGGGCCGTTCCACTTTTAAAAATATCACTCTATGTGTGCAAGCAGAACGGAAATTCGGTTCCCCGGAAATCGAATTCTGAGTGTGTACAGTAAATGGTACTAGATGTGTAAATAAAGTTCAACAGATGCTTTTTGATAATTTTTTTAAAAAAAAATTCTATAACCGTAAAAATTTCTGGAGGCGTGTGGAGGCATTTTAATGACAAATTAATGTTTACGTACATTCTGATTTGTGACATTGATTCCCCCATATGCATTGTAGCTTGCCGCTAGTACTTTTCTGTTTTTTTTCATTTAGTTGGAAACCTTGACTTTTGCTTCTATTTTCACACTCGCCCTGTACGATATATGCGCACATCTACCATTGAATTCAAAATAGGCCAGATGCATAACCACCCTATCGTACTGCTGTCAAATCGTAGAAATTGGCATTTCAATAACCACCATGGTACATTCAATAATCAATCGCAACATTAAACATAGGGTATTATTGTATTAAAGACTTTACAGGACTAATCTAATTGCATCTAGTTTGTACCTTGTTTTATGCTTGCTATTAGTTTTGTCATAATATTACGTAACCTTTTTGTCTGTACACTTTAAGCAATTAAGAGAGGTCTAAAGTATCTATCATAAACAGTGTGCATCATTTGTACAGAATTTACATTCAAACAAAGAGAAATCGAAATGTCAATTTAAATAGAATAGTAGCATTATAGTTTTAATTCAATTGTTATGTGAATTTTTAATTTAGAAACATCAATTTGCCATATTATAGTAAGTAAAAAGAGGTAATTGTTTAAAATTATTTTCATGCATATATATGATCATGTAGTATATGAGCTTAGTTTACTTAATCAGAATGACTTTGTTTATATTTCTTATCGATAATAATTAATTTAAAAAAAAAACATTTCTTTTAATACATTCATTTAAATTAATTATAAGTTATTAAAAATTATAAACATGTATATTTTGTTTTATAGTAAAGAGAGGTGTTGTTTTTATTTATCCAGTTGTTAAATCTGAATGCGTCTTTATTAAAAATTGACTAAAGAGTCCGTGTATGTGTGACTCAGTGATTACTTGTTTCAAGCAGAAATTGACTCGTATTTACCAAGTTCTAAATTTGGGATTAGCAAAATAAAAAAGAAGATAGGACCATCATCATGAATCGGGTCAAAACCTTGAAAAGCAATGTTTGGCTTTGAGCAGACAGTAGAAGAGAGAAAGAAGCGATTGAGTTGGAGAAGAAAAATTAATATGGGAATACTAGTAGTAAATCTAGAGAGGATCCTTTTCAGATGCGTAGTTATGACAAACCCAAGGTCACCGACACTCTCTATCCTTTTTCCTCTCTCATACTCAGCTTATTCACACGTAATAATAATGCATCCAATATGGTCGTAGAGAATGAATGAAGTAGGTTAAAAAGAGGGCAGTGAAGAAACTATAATAACCATTTGGTATTGCATGGGATTCAATGTTAGTAGTTAGAAGCTGAAAAGAAAGGGTGGTGGCTGTACAGTGTAGGAAGGAAGGAGCGACTCCAGCGCCAACTCCCAAGGACGAGCCATGCCGGAGCAAAGTAACATAATTCACTTTATTTGTTTAAAAAAATAAAAATATAGTAATGATAAGTGGGGCTAGGGCTAGGCTTCGAGAGCGTAGGGAGTTTGAAGAAGATCGTAGGGAGCCCATAAGGCGTCCAAGGGACAAGGGCGGTTGGCGTCGAGGCGGGCCCAGGGTTTGCCCTTGCCACTCCAATGCAAGAGGCTAACGGGGCCCGGATGCAAGTCTCTACAAAGCCCACGGAAGTTATCTCCGCCAAGCCCATGCTGGTTCCACCGGTGATCCACGGGGGCTATGTTCCCGGCGAATACCAGAAGAAAAGGCGGCAAGGACCCCAACTCGTAGATCCGCATTCTCTTCTGGAGCTCCATCCAGTCCTGGATCTTGGCGGTGTAGTCGCCGGCGCGCCACCGCTGCAAGTCGATCACCATGACGCCGGTGTTGAAGTAGCAGGGCTTGCGGCCCGCGAACGTGAGGGAGAGCGAGGGGTTGGACCAGAAGGAGGGGGTGAAATACGCGCTGAAGTTGGCGTTGCAGTACTCCGGCGCCGCCAGGACGGTGTTAGGGTCGTCTCCGAGGGGCGTGGCGGCGAGTTTGGCGATGTCGTCGACGAGGACGAGGTCGGAGTCGAGGTAGACGACTTTGCGGAGGCAGGAGGGGAGGAGGTCGGGCATGTAGTTGCGGGCGTAGTTGAGGGGGCAGTCGAGGGCGGAGCGGATGGAGGTGGAGATGAGGCCGGCGACTGCGCCGTCGCGGAAGGGGTAGATTTGGAATTTGAGGTAGGGGAAGGAGGTGGAGAGCGTGCGGTTGAGGGGGGCGGCGGCGGAGGAGGAGGCGGCGGTGACGAAGTGGAAGATGATGTTTTCGGGGCAGGAGGAGTGCTGGAGGACGGAGAGGATGGCGGCCATGGAGCCCCGGAGGTAGGTGGTGTCGAGTGTCATGGCCACGTGGACGGCGTCCTCGGAACACGTGTGGCCCTCTGGTTGCAGAATGGTGGCGCAGTTGGGGGAGTTGTAGAATTTGGGTGCTTGCTTGAAGCGCTGAGCAGTGGCATGATTGCTGGAAATGATGAGAAGGAGCCACAAATGGAATAACAATGTGAAGGAACACTGCTTGAATGCCCCGCTGCCCATGGGACGAGAGACTGAGAGAGAGAGAGAGAGAGAGAGAGCGATAGATGCTACTCACTACTCACTACTCCGCCCAAATAGAGAATTTTAAATACTCTACCATCCAGGATAAATATTGGAAACCACCCTAGTACTCGTCATTTCATTCACCTCTTAGTTTCCAAATACCAATATTAATATACTCTTTTTAACTCCTTTCCTTCTTTTTTATTTGTTAAACCATCCACGTCTCCACCCAACTCTTTACAAATATAGCTTGCATCTCAAACCAACAAATCACCACTACGGAAAATCAACATTTCCACTTCCTATATATCTAATACTTCAATTACCGTGCATCATCACATATTATCAAATTAATCAAGGTTATATATATATTTTCCAAACCTGTACACCAGCAGCTAGCAATATATAAAATTAATAATATATATATATAAGGGTTATATTTATAAATAAATAAAAAACGAATAGGATGTGAACATATGTAAGAATAATATATAAAACAAATGAGGTAGATGTGATTTTTTCCAAAAAAATATATACTTAATTTTAAGACAGTCTAAATAGTGAGTGAAGATTATATTAATTTAGAGAGATAATGAAGGAATGAGAAGAAAAGAATCCCAGTGATTGAGGAATTGGAATGCACAAATTAAGAAGATGGGGCAGTCGGTCAACTAAAATTAAATTTGTGATTAAAAACTTAGCCAGGCCACATTCTTTATTTAATTGGGCGGTTGGACATAGTTTGACAGATTAGCCACGTTGCGTGGAGGAGGGACCCTAAAATGGTGCCACTTAAACATGAAAAAATATATATAATAATAAAAAAGGAGTGAATTAAATAAAAGGTGTTCTGGTGTGGTTTAATTTCAAAGGGAAAGGGACGTCCAAGCTAGAGATGTCGTAGAGCAAGGACTCCACACTCCACAGTGACTAGAGCTTCTCTTTTTCTGCCTGAATCGTGACCTATACTTTGCTTTCGTTCCTCTACTCCCATCACCAAGTCCATGACCCCATGTAATTTTCCTAAACTTAATACTACTTTATAAAAGTGTCAAACAAAATCTTTCACAAAATTAATGTATCAGGGAGTCCTGTCTTATTTATGAATAAAAGACGAGGGACACGCTATTAATTTAAGCAACAATGCGCTACTTTTCAAATAACATCAGCTTAAAATAATTATAAGTATAGCTTACTGTAATACTTTACAAGCAATTTTTTTAATCCAAATAATTAATATATAATAGCATTCTTAGAGTAACATATAATCTTATTAATTTAATTGTTTAATATTTTCATATTATATAAATGATTGTGTGTTCATTAAACTCTGATTACCTGTATACAGAAGGTTTTTGGCCCTCGTCTTTTTCCAAAACATTATAAAATACTACAGTAAGGTTTATAACATTTCACCAAGATCCTAACCCTAGTTAGGAGAAAACACACGTGACAAAATAGGCTACTGACCCAATTTGGATAGATCTCGTGCGAATTGTGAATTATATTATGTTGAGCTACAAAAATATGAATTCAATTCGGGTCTCTAAAATGAAGCTTAAGCACAATAAAATCCCAATCATTTTTAAGTTTTTGTGCTTTTTTCTTTTTAAATCTACGTGAAGCCCTGACCGAATCAAATTAAAAGAATCTAAATTCAATTTGCACTCAAAATTTAAAATTCAAACTTCGTCCATTGGGTTCAAATCAACTCAATCTCTTTTCATCTATATTGGGCTAAAAGTAGGAGTATATAGAAAGAAGAAAAAAAAAAAGTTAATAAAACTTTAAACTTATTAAACATCAACAGTTTGGGCAGAAAACATATGAAATTTATATTGAAAGTTATAACCTCATTTTGAAAAAGAAAAAAAAAACAATAATGCGATGCAGCAAAGAACTAGAAGAATTTAAAAGTTCCGCGGTATGCACACTTAAATTGACTCTGGAGCTTTCGGAAAATTCAGTAGCAGTAACATATGTCTGGTAGCACGAAGAATAAATTGGCCCCACTTCCTAATTAATGAGGATTGACTTCTTGTTCATCAATCTTTAAAACCTTTGATTTTTCTGCTCGTTTCTGCCAATTTGGGCCTAACCACTCTGCAACTTCAATAATTTCATGGACTTTCATTTCATAAATGGAATTACACGCTATAAATTTGCTACATGTTTTCAAATTTTTTTAATAGCAACCTTTTATATTAAAGAGACACTGAGTGCATTATAAAATCTTTAAATTAAACAGGGAAAACTTTGTTTTAATTTACATATTATTCAAGGTTAAACGATGCATTGTACTATCTTTACTTTATTTCAAAATTTACAATTACATTATTTGAGAACAAAGGTAGAAGTGAAAAGTTGAGTCAAATATGAAATAGGCTACACTTCGTTTTGACTTTATCTTTTTAGTTCAAATTGATTCTAAAATTACTAAACATAGATGATTATTATAAAAATTAATAAAATTATCATAATGGATTATTTAGATAATAATATGATACAGTTTATATTATCAATTCATACATTATTTATTATTGACTTTTAATATTAAAATAACCATTTAATCTAATAGAACTCCAAAATTCTCTATTAAAATGAAGTGAAATAGTTTTCAAATGAGACATATAGATAGTGCTTAAATATCTTTCGACTAAAATTTAAATTGAAATTAAAATACAATTACAATAACAATCAAATTTGATGATTAAAAAATGTCATAAATATTTCATTTCAAGTTATATCATGTTGTATCTTCCCGACCTTTTTGTCGAGAGAGAGAGTTTTAACTTAGTCTCCATGTTTTTCATGTTAAAAGTTGTTGGAGAAGTGTATCTTTTTTCAAGTATCCCACTAATCATATTTCTATTAGACCGAGTAATTGAAACTCTTATTTGATACAAAATTTAGTCATTAATGATCATGATTAAATATCAAAATATAGTATTCAATATTAAGTAAATTTCTAGAAAATCTTGAAATTCCAAAATTTATTGAAGACTTAACAATTAAACATATAATCTTCATTTTAAGACAAAAACAAACAAAATACACTTTTTGAATGTTGTAGACATTAATGAAAGTTAAATCTTTTCTAGAAGATTTTCAATATCGAATGGACATACTGTATACATAAAATTTTCATCTACTTCTATTTTAATGATATGAAAATTGAAATGTAAATATTTGTTTAACAATCTCTGTTATAGTTTCACCACCATAATTAATTGGTTTCGCATAGAAGATTTATTGGTTTCCATCTTTAACCTGAAACGTAACCGAAAGAAGAAAAAAAATAATCTACCTATACAACATTACAGCCAATGAACTTTAAACTGTCTAGAGTCTAGAATTTCATTAGCTTTGTTGCGAAACTTCAACCACTATTTGTAAGGTATACTTTCGATTTTTTATCATTTTTTCAATTCATTTTTTATCCTTTAAACAATAAAAAATTATTTTTGTTCTTTATCTTTTATTAATTGTTTTGACTCTTTCAAAATAATAATCATTTTCAATTTTATAATGCAATTTTAAATAAATATTTAATTTAATTAATGATTTACCCTAACTGCCACCAAACCATAAAAGTATTAAGTTTCATTCCATCTCCTTCCTATAATACTATCTGTCTAGGCTTCTAGAAGTAAAAGTGTAAAGCTTTACCCCTTGTTTCATTCGATGAAAAAAATCTAATAATCATCTCTTTTCATTTTTTTTCCTTTCTCTCCAACAAAGAAAACACCTACTAAAGAGGATTTTGTGGCCAATACTCAAAATCCAAAAAAGAATATCTCTACATAAGAGCAAGAACAAGAAGATAGTATTGACACCAGCAGCATCAACGCCTATATTTACATTTATCTCCAGTAAAATTAGTCAGCGAGCAAAGCCAGTAACATGCCTAAACCACACTAAATGAATTAAACAAGTCTCCTATGCCAAATACAAATTACACCTATAGCAAAAGATCACAAGTTTAGTAGCATACCTCCATCTTGAATCATTTAACATCCTAAGGTATACATTTATTTTTAAAACCACACCTTCAGTTTGCCGTTTAGGAAGGAGGCAAATAACATTGATAAATGATATTTTGGTTGTTTCAGCTATCAATCACAATAACTCTCCAATAATGACATAAAAATTGTCATACTAAAACTTGTGCTGCTAATGGCCATTCAATAGCACAGTAAAAGCTACTAACTATTCTTCCAGATACTTAAAAAAAAAATTGGGGAGACCAACAATGGGGAGAAGCTATTAAAAGACAGTAAAACACCAGGCAAGTGAAGAAGATCAAACAGGTAGCATTCAAGTTCTTGCAGATGCTTATAATACAGTTATTAAAGAGCTAAACAGGCAGCTTCCTAGAGCATACCATTGCCTCTTGAGGTCATCTAAAATATTTACACACACAACAACTCCTTGAGAAGCATAGTAACCTCAACACAGAATGATATTAATACACAAAAATAACCGTAAGAAGGACAAGAAATCCAATCAACAAAAGAAGATTCTTCAAGACATTGTCCTCTTGCCGCTGCACTTGGCCAGTTGCCTGCGTAAAACCTCTCGTGTTCCCTCCATGAAAGGCATTGAACCCGAACGGGTAACCAGATGTTGTCCCATACACAGTGGCATCCTGAAAACCATGGAAATGAATGTTGAGCAGGGAGGGGATAAAGCCACCAAAGGCAGTGGAAAGCGTGAAGTTTCCAAATCTGGCAGTTGCCATGGGAATGAAACCCCCCATGAGTCCAAACCCATAATTCCCAAAAGGGTTGGCCTCGGGAGGAGGTGGGGGAGGCGCTGTCTGCGGCCTCTGCCCCGAAGGACGGTGAGGGATCTCCATTCCAGGATATGATTTGGTCCTGGGATCCGTAGGCGATTTGCCTCTTCCATAAAGAGGCACCAACTTCTCTTCCTGCACAAGGGCCTTGCAAACAGGGCACTCCTGAGAATGGGAGTGATGGTGGAGCCACCTATAGAGGCATGGCCAACAGAACAAATGACCACACAGAGTGATCACTGGATCTTGCGCCAAATCAAAGCATATGTTGCATTCGAAATCACCAGCATCGTTTGAACTGTTCCCTGAGCATGAAGGGCTCGGAACAGACGCTCTAGTTGATTCCCCAAAACCACTCGTCATTTGCCTAAACCCTCAGATCTTCAGATGCACCCAACAAAATCAATTACAATACCAACCAAACCCTACAATGTCACCAGAAAAATAAAATCATCATACGCTATATCGCATCATCGCCACAGACAAGGTCGTACTAGAATACAAATCAACGATTTGTACGAAGACCCACAACTAATCAATCCAAGAAACGACGGATAAATTTAGAGATCGAACGTTGTAAATAGTGGAACAATTAAAAAAGAAAAATATTTAAAATAAAATACACAGATAGGGATCTCATCTCAGAATGTCAAAGAAGAAAATTGAAATCATGAATTGATAACGAAATAAGCAATCTGGGAGCGAAACTTACAATTCGGGCTGAGGGAGAAGCAATTGGTTGGGGAAAAACGAAGAATTTTGATTCGAAAAGTAAATCTTGAGATGCAATGCCCCCAAATTGGTCCTCGCCGAAAACCTCGTGGAAGATTCCAGGTTCGTCCAGGTGTTTTCTTTCCCTTAACTATATAACATTTATTTATTTATTATTCATTCGATCCAGTCTATTTTATGTTATTTTATTTTATTTTTATATTTTATTTTTTAAATATTTATTTTAATCTTTTATCTTTTAAATTTAAGTAAATTTTATCTTTTTTAAATTTTCTTATTGATTGAGAGCTTAAAATTTATCTTATAAAAATTCAATTATTGATTATAATTGAATTTTATATCAAATATTTTATGAATATAGAAAAAATAAAAAAAAATTTAATTTCATATTACTTTACTTATTTATGAATTTATATTTTATACTATTTTTATTATATTTATAGTCCTTTTTAATTTAAGTATTAATTATCTTTCATAATTTTCATACAATTGAATCTAATATTATAATTTTAATTTTTTAGATGATAAAAAATTATTCAAAATTATGTTATAAAATTAAAAAATCATCATTGTTTATAAGGATTCAAAAATAAAAAATAAAGAATTAAAATTAATATTTTAATAGATAAAAAATTAAAATAAATCTAAAAAATAAGATAAATAATAAAAAATTTAATTTAATTTTAATTATATATCAGTATTTTATCATAAACTTTAAATCTTAGTATTTTAACTCCGTAAATAAATATTTATTTTATATAATTAATATTTATAATAAATTATATATAAAAAATAAATATTATATTAGAATATATAAGTTATATTTAAAATTTAGATAAAAAATAACTTTAAGTATATAAATTATATTTTAAATTTATAATAAATGATTTATATTGTAATTCAATATTTTTATTGAATTTATTTTTAAAGTATTAAAATTTAAGTTCATAAATAATTATGATACATGAAAAATAAATTAAATAAATATTTTAAAAAAAAATCTTAAAACCACTCTCAAAAAAAGTCTCTAAATTGTGTTTGAAATTTGTATAATAATATTTTAAAAACATAAATTACATTTTAAATTTATAATAAATAATTTATATTGAGACATTAAATTATTTTTAATTATTGATAGTTTATTTTAAAATTATTAATATTTTATTATAGATAAATAAATTTCTGTATATTAAATACAAATTCTTATTTTGTCTGAATATTTTTATATAAAAAATTCAACAAAAAGTTTGGAGGGATTCTTTTAAATTATTTAATTCATTTTTATATTATAATTATTTATGAATTAAATATTAATATTTTAAATAAATTATTGATAAATAAAAAGTTATTAAAAGATAATATATATGTGTGTGTTTTAAATATTTATTTATACTAATTTTAAATGTGATTTATATATTCAAACATAATATTTATTTATATTATTGTGTGTGTTATGTGTTAATCACAAAAATCACGTATAGATGGAAGTAACATGCATGTATCAACATTACATCAACAACTAGTGCAAGATTTTGATATATTAGATAGAGTTATCTTAAGAATAATAACGAGTGTATAGGTTTATGATTTTAAAGAAACACACAATTTTTTTTTCACATTTACATAAGGAGAAGGGAACAAAAATTATTCTTTTAATTTTAACTTAAATGGAAGAAGATGTTACACAAGACTTGTTAAAAAGACACCTATTTTAAATAATTTTTAATGACTTATTGACTTTTGTAAGAATTTTAGACTTGTTAGAAGTTAAACCTGCTAGACCACTTAGGTCCATAATATAAATATATTTTGTTAGCTCTATATGTACTTTAAACTTATTTTATGGCAATTTTTTGTGCCACTTAGGTCCATAATATAAATATATTTTGTTAGCTCTATATGTACTTTAAACTTATTTTGTGGCAATCTTTTGTGAGAAGTTTGATTTTTTGATAGTTACTTTTATTTTTATCTTAAGAATTCTTCTTTCTTTAGTGGCTAATCATCCTTAACTGGTTAATTCTTTACATCAATGTAAATAAATATATATAGAAATCTCAATTTGTAGCTTTCCACCTAAATGTAGATTACGAAGTGTCTTATACGTACAGAACAAAATAGGCACTATATACTTATTATTATATTAAGAAATTGATTTAAAATTTAGAATTAATTTTGAGTTAAAATAATTTTATGTTAATAAAAATATATATTAAATGTTAGTATTAACTAGTTTAAGAATAAAAACATCAAATTCATTAATAACAGTAGAGTTATTTTTAATCTCCATTCTTAAGTGATAGGAAACTGTTTTGAAATACCAAATAGTAACTTCAAGTTTAAACTATTTTTAATTTATTAGACTAGATTTTAAATAATTATTAACATTTTTACTTTTGTTTATTTGATTTTTTGGACTCCTTAAATATTATTTTTTACTTTCATCCCTTATTGCATCTTAGATATTATTCACTTTAACGTTTTGTGGATATACACAATTTCTCCTTAATGTGCACCTTAGTAAATTAAGAGAGTAATATATTTATAAATTATCTTTGATATTTTTAACTCTATGTTAGATTTTTTGACCCAGTGAAATAGGTCCCAAAATTGAAATTAATGAGTATTCTTTTTAGTGTCAAAATTTTGATCTCAAACCCATTTGCAGTAATATTCGATGCTCGATGGATCATCAAGATTTTATTTTTAAAAAACACTTCACTTAGGACAGATGCATGGACTAACAAGGTTTTAAGGGGGGAGATTTCTTTTATAATTATTTAAGTATTTAACTTGTTATTATATTAATTAAAGTTTACAAATAACTAAAACTTCACAATATTACTCATTATATGTTTATTGAAGATTTTTCACAATTAATTTTGATTTAAATATATTTTTCATATAATTTTACACTGTAAAATTAGGGGGCCACGGTTACGTGCCTCTCTTTGTGTTTGTCCCTGAGTTTAGTAGGATAGTGGAGAAACTATTTAAACTGCTATTGATCTCAATTCTTAAAATAAAATATATTAATTTATGATGAAAATTAATTATTATTAATTGTAATAATAGTGAAGTTAAAAATATTATTTAATATTGTTGGGAATAAAAAAAAGTTCTTTTCTTTTTCGCACAAAAATAATGATGAGAACTATATTAAAATAACACCATAAAAAAATAAGAAAAAATCAAACAAATTTATTTAACGGGATTTAATCCCTCGTGCCTATTTCTATAAAGATGTTCATTATTTATCTCAAAATGTATTACATATATCTTGAAAATCCTCCCTCTAAATTTTGTGAGCTAAACTTGAAAATTCTTTTCTCATAAGTTTTATGGGTAAAACTTGGAAATCTCTTCCTTACAAGTTTTATGGGTGAAACTTGGAAATCTCTTTCACACAAGTTTTTTGATGAAACTTGAAAACTTTAATTCACAAGTTTTCTGACGAAACTTGGAAACTCTCCTTCATATGACATTCTATCTCATTTAAGGTGATAACCTCTTCTACATGTCGGGTAATTCTTTTCATATCAAGAATCTCTATTTATTGACCTTACATCACAATCTTAAAAGAGAAAACAAATCTCTAAAATAAACATAATATATTTCAATTCTAAACAATATCTTAAAAAAATCAATATCTTTTAAAATCTAAATAATATCTTAAAGATTTGAATTTGAAAATTTGAATTGTTTTCCCAATAAATTTTTTTTGGTGTTGCAGAAAAAATAAAAGACAAAAAACTAGAAAGAAATGAAATTAGTGTAGGGAGCAGAGATCCTCCCCATACACTTGAAACACAAATTTTGGAGGACTCCTCCATGTTACATGTTAAGTCCTTAATCTAGCTCCCTAACTTGCAAGAACATGAACTACTTAATTAATTTCTCTCGGGATCCCAGTAAATATAACTCGCCAATCTCTCTCCACCAAATCTTTGATATTATTGATTAGATCTCTATGTTTATGAACAAGATTTCTCTCCCAAATAGCGTATTCAATCACAGATATCACACCAATACAATTTAACCCGTACACCACTTGTTTGTAACCAAAATTCCAGCAAAATTAAAAGATAATCTTTCCTTTATAGCCAAAAGTTCAGCTAGCAAAGGATCACCATTCACCCCCTATTCCCAACAAATATCATATCCAATTTTTATTTATGTTTTTTTATAAAAAAAATGTTTTATTATTTTTCTATTATTTTAGAAATGAAAATATTAATTAGTTATTTTCTTTTTTAGTTACCTTATTTTATTTAATTAATAAATATTATTCACATTTATTATTTATGAAGAAAAAAATATATAATAAAAAATGATAGAATTATTTAATGAAAAAATAAGCTTTACAGTGCTTAAAAATAATCTCAACATATAAGTGAAAATATTCAATATATTTCTTAACTTACATATTTTAATTAAAAAAGGAATGTAAATAATATTAAACTAAGAAATTAGTCCCTCGCAACTCGCAATACAGTGAACCCAAGGTTCGAATTTTCGTTGAAACATCTATCTAAAATCTACATTTAATGTTTAATAATTCCTCAAAAAGGATTATATATGTAGAGGATACTTGTGGGGAAAAGAAAAATAAATAAATTGATATTATCTATATATAAAAAAGGAAAAATTATCTAATTTATAAAACAAAAAACATCTATCATATAATTTTGATCTTCTATAAAAATTAGGATAACATGTATTAGGAAAAATATAAAATCCTATGGTTAATCTCAATATTATATATTCGTAGGTTTATATTTTTTGATCTTCTTAAATCAGATTTTCCTTTTTTATTTTATATTTTAAAGAAACCGTTTATCATAGTACGTATATATTATGTGTTTAGGGTTTCTCACCGATAAGTATATCATTTTATATTTTTAATGAATTAAATCCATAAGATTAAGAAGATGTAAAATATTTGTGAGTTTGACATTACAAAAATTGGTCTTAAATAAATTAGTCATGGACCTGGGATAGTACACATTCTTTTAGCAATGGTGCATAAAGACTAAGTGAAAAATTAAAAATGATCCGTTGATCGACCATGTGCCTATAGCTATATGGCTACAAATTTCAAAATGATGCATGTCATTGAGAGGGAGCAGGTTTGTATGCCTTTCATCACATTATGAAAAAACATCAAGTTTAAAACAGAAATAACTAAGTTCAGCAAGTTTGAAATGTTTAACTTAATTGAGTTGCAAATGCACTAGAGTTTACTTGATGTCTATATGAAATTCCAAATACTGTATAACAAACCAGGAGGAAAGTGCGTACGTAGTGCCTAACGTTCTCCATATGGCTCTTTGCTTGTCAGCAAAATAAGTGCTAAATTTTGTTGCCTTTTTCGTATGGGATCTAGCAAAGCAAGCGTTGGTTATTTGAAAGACCATGCAAAGTGTGTCTTGTCACATTTTAGTTCATCCATGTCCCATACTTTTCCGCAGAAAGATAGTTACTTATGTGTTGCATGATTGAACAACCTCGTTTTTTGGCTTCTATATTAAGGTTCCTTGATTCTAAAATTGTGACTTTGGTGGATTACTTGTATGGCAAAGCACATTCATGTTTTTTGACATGGTTAATGATAGTATTATTAAATATAAAAAAAATAAATAAAAAAATGAATGTTTAAAATATATACAAGTATAGAAATGTGTAGTGTACTGTAGGCCACGAATTAAGAAGTGTCTCTTTCCTCGCCTTGAGTCTCGAGTGACGAGCGATCCTGAGCGAGCAAGAAAATAGAAAGGCAAAGGTTATGTAAAGAGGAGCATAATCTCCGGCTTGCCCACGTCACCGTCCGGCGGAACCAACGGTAAGGCCACGACGGTGATGATGCAGAGGCTGAACTTCTACCTCTCAGAGCACCCCGCCATCGTGGGCTTCCGATGGAGCCACGCCCTCTGCTGGGGCTCCACGTGGTCCTTCCTGGTGTCCTCCATCGCCGTCTACGTCGTCGTTTCGATCTTCCTCCACCTGGTGCTGGCCCTCCTCCTCCGCCGCGGGAAGCCCGTCCCTCTGGGACCCTTACCCGCAATCCACAGCCTCTCCATGTCGCTCATCTCCGCCACCATCTTCGCGGGCCTTCTGGTCTCCGCCGCCGCCGAGATCAAGGAGACGCGGTGGTTCTGGCGGCGCTCCAAGACCCCGCTCCAGTGGCTCCTCTGTTTCCCCCTCGGGACGCGTCCCTCCGGCCGCGTCTTCTTCTGGTCCTACGTGTTCTACCTCTCGCGTTTCCTCCACATGCTCAGAACCGTTCTCGTCATATTACGACGTCGTAAGCTCGTTTTCTTCCACCTCTTCTACCACTCCATCTCCACCTTCATGTCCTTCCTCTGGCTCGAGTTCTCCCAGTCCTTCCAAGTTCTCGCCATTCTCTTCACCCCCCTCGCCTACTGCGTCACCTACGGCCACCGCTTCTGGGCCGCGATCGCCGCGCGTCGCCCCTGCTTCCCCCTCGTCCTCAACTTTCAGATCGCTCTCTTTGGATGCAACGTCGTTTGCCACGTTGCCGTCCTTTTGTTGCATTTTTTTAAAGGTGGCTGTAACGGCATCGGCGCCTGCCTCTTCAATGCCCTGCTTAACGCTGCTATTTTGTTGCCGTTTCTCAACTTCTACGTCCGAGTCTACTTTCGAAGGTCCACAAAACATAGTAACAAATTCTTCAACTTCAGTTAAACCTTAGCTTGGTCGGTCAATGCTGCCAACGCCAAGGTTTCCCAGCTTTGTGTTGTGGGTGCGGTTATTGTCACTTTTGTAAGTAATTAATTAAAAGCATGCTGGTCTACTCAACGATCAAGAGAAATTTGTTTATAGGAATATAGTTTTTTTTCTTTTCAGTGCTCCTACTCTTTGATAATCCAATCCGTTATTTCTTTAGCAAATTCAAGCCATTTCAATTTTAATTAGCTCCTTCTTGTTACGTAATTTTTCAAATTCAACTCTGATGATTGTAGATAGGAGTCGGTGCTGGGTAGTTGCTGGCATCAAAATTTTTAATTCCAAGTCCAGCTTTGAATGAGTACGTTAAGAAGAAACCGTGTATGCCAAGGAACTCTTAGAAGTATAAATTTTGTCAGGCCATCCCTAATCCACTATTTCTTCTTTTTTACCTTTTGCACATCTTAAATAAATTTTGCTATTACTTTTTATACTTTAAAAAACTTTTTTTTAACCGTTTTTAACAAGTAACACTCCGTTCAGACATTTCTTCAACGTTAACTTTTAATTTCACAAGTGACCTTATAATAGCTAATTTTTTTGTTTGATAAAAAAAACTGACAACTAATATTGAATGAATAATTCATTTGATAATATTTCGCCAATTGAATGATATATTTCTAATAAGTTGGTGTGACATTGATTGCTCAAGTGTAATTCAATAGAGTTGATGTGGGGCTTAATAACCCATTAGCTAGGCTTTTAATGAATGATTTATTAAATTATTTTGATATTTTAAAGAAGGGATCCTCTAGAATCTCAAATTTAAGTGCATGCATGATACAATGATGAATGAATTATTCTAACACCACAGCCATAAATTTCATTTATTATGCATTTATAGTTTTTTCTATTGTGTTGAAATTCGCTTCTCTCCCACTGTCTGTCAGGTATATTTGCACTTATATGTACCCACAAATGTTATTACAAATTAATTATGTTTACTTTATTTGGTAATAAAAAAAATGAAAGTCAAATTTATATGTTTATCAGATGTGAGACATGGTGTTACTCTATTCAGGCAACTCAAAGAGTTTCTCTGCTATGGTTTAAAGTTTAAACTTTGATGTACATTATCCCCCCACCAACACTTGGATGCTTGAGTAACCATAGGAATGAAGGTGTTAAGTGTTTCAGGGTCAATCTCTTTTATCTCAACATCGGTGGCAAATGGTCATGGCATCATCCATACACAAGAAACTTGTGGGTCTTGATATATACATTGTGGAAATTAATAACAAGGTGGAGGCTTCGGTAGAATGTTAGACCATCCAAAGTATGGAGACAAGCAGTCAAATTTTGATGTTAATTTATTTTAAGGGTTTGTGTACAAAGTTTGGATAATTTTAACTGTTAGTACCCGAAGCACAATTTGGGTTGCTTTCCTCTTTTCTCTAAGGTGGCGGCAAGGCATTATTTCAGGAATATGGCTAGGTGTGTTAGCTGGTTGATCGGCCTTGCATGTTTTCAGATGAATTAATTCATTTTGTGAAATTTGGGTAAATTGCTGGCAAAGGTGGTTAAATGTTAGATTGCTTAGTTGGGATTTTTCTGGGTTTCTTTCTTAAGCAGTGGGACGTAGTCACTTAATTACTTGTAATGTTTTAGAGTCTCGAGTTGGGTACATCTTGTGCTCAAATTAAGCAATCTTTATATTAATGAATTATTTTACTTATAAAATAAAATGAACAGCTAAAATAATCGACAAGGATTCAGCTAGCTTTTGGCGTCGTCATTTTTTTACACCCCTTAAATACTATTTAGTATTATTATGTTAAATTTAAAATATCTTTATTTAATATTTTTAACAAAAATAATAATAGAGTTATAAGGCGATTAAGGTGATATGGAAAAAGAATATAAGGTTAGAATGACAAGGAGGAAGTGAGTTTGAATCTCCTTAACAAACATAACTCACTAATTACTAATATATTTTTTTTAAAATAACAATGGGGTGTGAATAATTATTAAATAGGGGTATGTGTGAATTAAGTTAATTAATATTACTTTAGAATATGTAAAACATCAACAACAAAAATTGAACAAAAGAAAAAGCTTAAAGCATAAAAAAAAATTATAGATAAGAGGAAATAATTTTCTAAATATCATATTATGTAATTATTAAAATAAAGTGTTTAGTAACAACATTTAGATTATATATTTTGACATACAACAAAATCAATGTTCATTTTTCCATATGAATTACCATTGAATACCCAATTATTTCCCATTTTCTAACTATATGAATATTTTTAAGGATTTTGGATTTTGAGGTCATAATAGAACAATCTCATATCAATCGATTTATGTATGGCTAAAAATAATTTTTAATTTGAAACTGTACCATTTTGAACTATAATCGATCGAGCACACCAAACAGGTAAATTCTTCCTATTGCATCACTCAAGCTTAAAAGATCATGTATCATTTACACTTCTAATCGACTAATCATAATTAACCTGCATGGTGCCTCTCAACAATGGAGCTCTATTCTAAGAAAGTAATTTCCTACTTCTAAGATTAAACCTCTTAGTTTGGTGTCCTAACTTAACACTGACTAAACTTTCATCGATATCCCAATAACAGGATGACATTTAATTGGTGACCAACCACTCACCAATAATTGAGCACAAGACAAAGTGTCATGATTTATGAAGCCAAGAACAATAGTGGTAATATATGTCATGATTTGCAAGACTATTATTTTAATATGGAGACAATGCTATAATAATAAACATCTTGATAATAAATGTCGTGATTTATATAATCACTTACAATAGTAATAATTAATATTGTCCTCAAAATCCATTCTCAAGATAAACTCAATGAATCCAATGGTTCAAATTGTTTCAATTGTTTATAGTTTATATCGGATTAGAACCAATTGAAATCAATGTTAATTAGTTTAGGTATTAGGTTCACATGTTCAAAATCCAAGTCAACTAAATTCAAATCAACTATTAATGTATTATTGTTTTTTATTATCCATTAACATAGTAAATATTCAATGTTTGAGAATTTGACTTTAATTGTTAGAGATTTTGATATATGTTAAACACTTTAGTTTGAGTGGAATATTTTGATTAATTTTCTTTATATTATTATAAATGAACTAATATCATTTAATCAATTATTGATTCATTATTTTTTATAATTTATATAATTTATGTTATTATTTAGTTAATGTTATTTAATTACACTTAAATGTGTAATTTACGTTATTTTATAAACAACGTTATTTATCAATTTTGAGACTATTATTTTGTATTCATAATATAGCTGTCAAAATGGATCCTATAGTTTAAACCAATCCGTTTGACTAGAAGCATGAAAAGTGAGCAATGACCCATTTTCATATATGCTAGCTACAATTTTGTTTTTTTCTATGTAACTTAACAAAGACAAACTAACCCATTATTTTTTGCACAAACTTTTTATTTAACAAATTACATATTTTTATTAGAAAAAAATTTATGACTTAAATATATTTTTAATTTCTTAAATTTAGAATAAATTTATTTTTATTCCTCAAATTTAAAATTGATATTTTTAGTTTCTGTAATTTTAAAAAAATTTATTTTAGTTTTTATATTCAAATTTTGTTAAAAAAATTTATCAAATATTATTATATAAAATTTATCGATTGATATTCTTGTCAGTAAAAATATCACATTAAATCTAATTGACATTACATAACCATCTTAATTTGTTACTTTCAAATATATTATTGATGATTTGAGGGATTAAAATAAATTTTTTAAAAATTTCAGTGATTAAAAATGACAATTTTAAATTTAAAAAACTAAAAACAAATTTATTTTAAATTTAAAAAACTAAAAATAAATTATCTTAAATTTGAGTAACCAAAAACATATTTAAACTAAAAATTATAAACAATCTAATATCTACCACTTTCCGGCTAACTTGCCTCAAAATATTGTCAGACTCACAAAATCATCAAATTATGACAATTATAAAGGATTATTATAATTTCTACATATATGTTTAGCATTCTATATTTAATTATTTTAGAAAATACCTTTCCCTCATTTCAAAATGAAGTCTTTGATACAAGTTAACAGCTTGTAAATAGACCTTTAACCGCATGAATTTGATTACAAAAATTTTAAAAATTAAAGAATTAATCACAATTTTTATAGTTTAAGGACTTAGTAAAAAAAAAATCACAAACAATCCATTGATGTATTAAAGAAATTTAATTTTTTAGAAAAATGCTGATACCTGAAACTTAGCAACTGGTGTGTAATCGGAGATTAATGAGCAGAAAAAATAAAAATAAAAAATCAGAGCTAAAACGACAGTTTTTGAAAATAGTCCTTCAATAAAGGAAAGTTGGAGAGGACACTCTGCATCTGTTCTACACAAAGCCGCATCTAATTCTAACAAACCGTAAGCATTACATGTTTCCTAATGATACTTTTCCGATAGCTTACGGTGATAGAAAGGTAAGGTGGTAGAAGGGGGAGGGGAAGAATGTGGTCACTCAGGGAGCCAGGCCAGGACCTTCAGTATCATCCTTATTTTCACCTTTAGCCCAATCACTTTCCAAATCAATGTTGTTTGGAAGAATTGTCAAACTTTGGAGAGAACGCAGCCCTGAGCTGATGATACCTTTCAATGTCAAAATTTTTAAGCTTCATGAGACGTCTCTGCTTGGAGCTGAAACGGGCTTGGTAGAAACCTTCGAAGGAAGGTTCTCTTGAGGTTCTGAGGAAGAAGGTGTAACCGGCCATGAAGTACATGGAGGTCAAATAGAAGCAAATGGGTTCCATCACATCCCACGTTAGCTCCCAAAACGTGAGCCTCATGAACGCCATGGTTTGCACCATCAAGAACCCCAACCCGCCCCAGAGCTCACGCCGAACCATGCTGTTTGCTCTGTCGTCAATGGACAACTTCTTTTTCTCCATTTCTTCCAATTCTTTTCTTTCTGACTCATGTACCTTGGCTCCTGGCACGGGGAGAAGACCCTGGATGGCTTTTGCTACCTGTACCACAAATTTTAGAGTTTTGGTAAAACAAATGCCCTTAACTACATTTGGTTTTTCCTCTACGAATCACACAAACTTAGAATAACAACAAATGCCTAGGAATTAATCACCACCACCTAAATAAACTCTTCACCCGGTCTTCTAATTATAAAAAAAATATAAAAAAAAAAAAAAACTGAGTTACCAACTTTTAATACTTATTAACAATCTAGGACTAGGACCCCAATTTTCATTTACGGCAGATAATCATTGTTTATCATGTTAATTGTATTTTAAAAATAATTTGGGGTTAGCAGGGGCAAGGACACCTCCAAGCAGATCCCAATAAAATCAATCTCTCGAATTTTCCTTTGAAAAAAATAAAAATAAAAATCTCAAATTTCCCATTTATAAAGCCCCAGAGAATGATAAAATTGAATGAATGATGGTGTTGGATGAAAGCTGGTGGGCTTTTGCAGTCCTTTACAGCCCTAATTTACCACCTCAAACGTGGAATCACGTTTTAGATCTTGCGAAACAACATTGTTTCAATTTCCTGTCGAAAAAACACAAGAAATAATCATAAAAAGCTTATCAGTTTTCGGTAGTCTCCAGATAAATGGGAAACGAGAAGTATGTGATAAGAAAACCTATCTTGATCTCCACCATCACCCCTCTGTAACAACCCAGAAACTAAAACACGACCCAACAACAAAAACATACCCAAAAACAAATCATGGTAGAATAAATTAGAGTAAATGACAAAAAGAGAGAGAGAAAAAAAAAAAGTAATTAACCTGTTCAGGCCTGAGAAACACGACATCCCCCAAAACAATGACAGCCGCAGAATCGTCCAATCTCTGGGCAATCTCCAGCGCTTGATCCTGATCCGGACAATTTTCCATGCAGATCCGAATGAACTCCGAAAACGTTATGTAACTCTTCCTGGTACCTCTCAACTTGGATTTCACAATCTCAAACTGAACCACCTTCAACAACTTCCTCGCTTCCGCGACGTTCCCTCCCTCCTCCATTCCACCGCGCGTCTGCGTCTGCGTCTGTGTCTGTGGCGGCGGCGGCGTCAATCCCTCCCAGCGAATCCGGTTCCGAGAAATATCCATGTCTCTCAACTTTCTGAGGAGGGTTCCTGCGAACTGCGGCGAACGGAAGAGGCCATTGTCTCCGGGGTCATCAGTATCTGTGGCTCTGGGCGAAATCGAAACCCTTCCAATGACAGCGGACGAGGAAATTCGACAATTTGTGAGAGTTTGGGACGATACTTTGGTGATGTTAAGGAGACGCTGGGCAAGGGTTTTCCTCAACGCCATAACAGAGGAGAGAGAAAGAAAGGTAAAGGGAGTTTCTAGTTTGTAGTTGGACGACAATGATGGGTCTAGGAAGCAGGTTAAATAGGTGCCCCTCATACACAGATAAGATTTACACGCGATAATTTGAAAATCACGTGAGATTGGGTGGTTATGATTTACAACCTGAGTCACCTGGCTCAGGCTTTTGAATTTGGACGCGAAAGAGTGAAGCGCGATAAATTGAAAACGAAAAGGAAAGAAGGGTGTCCAGACACGTGTTCGGTTGAGGATTGAAGAGAGGTGGGGTTTGTGATTTGTGAGCGTAGGATGGTGACTAGGTTCTGACCAGGACAGGTTACAACTGAAGGATCAGTCTGTGACACCTAAGCCATCCTGATCCATTTACAAAATTAGATTTTATGAATTCTTAAAAAGGCATAGCATTAAAAGTGTGTGTGGATGCTGCGAACCGACAAAGCGAGAAACTAGGAGTGGCGGGCACTAGTTGCTGCGTCCACGCCAACAACTCGCCACATATCTCTTTCTTTTTTCTTTTTTCTTTTTTTTTCACGCAATCCCACAGTTACAATATCCTTAAATGCCATATCTTAGGATAATTACATATAAGAATTCCTTCTCAACTTTTCCTTAATTACGTTTTTTATTTTTAAACATTATTATCGTATGATTTTGATATTGATTTTTAAGATTTTAATTTAATAATTTTAATCATTCAAGATTATAAGTATACGATTTTGGTTTTTTTAATTGTAATTAAATATTTTATTTTTTGAAGTATTATAATTATATAATATTAATTTTTCTAACTGAATTCTACAATTTTAGTTATTTTTATTTGAAATTTAATAATTTTAAAATTAATATGTAATATTTTAAAATTATAAATTATTGACCTATTTAAATTACATAAATATTATAATTTTTTTATTCATGTATCAAATTATATATATATACTAAATAAATAAAATTTATATAAATTATTAGTATTATAATATTATAAGTATATTTATAGATAAATTAATAATTTTATAAATATAAATTAGTACATATTAATAAAATATTTTTACAAAATATAAATATAAAAAATTAATTAGAAATAGTGATACATCTTGTCATCCATCAGCATTACATCAACAAAAATGATTAAACTTTTTATAAGAGAGACTAAATGACACAATATATATAATTACAATAAAAAATAAATAATAAATATTTTTATCATATAAATTATTTTTTAGATTTATAATAAATAATTTATAAACTTAAATATATTTTTAATTCATACAAAATAAGTGAGTTTTGATGTTAGTTCCTGAATTTTTTTTATCCTTCTAAAATTTATAAATATTGTTTCTAGTCCTTATAATTTTTTTTTATCTTTGTATGATGAACAAAATTTTGTTTTGGTCCATATAAAAAAAAATCTTTGATTTTTTATTACTAAAATCTAAAATTATTATTTTTTTATCATTGACAATAATTTCAAAGTATATAAATAATATTTTTTTAGGGATTCATAAATTTCAAAGTATATAAATAATATTCGTCCTTGAAGTATCCATGGTTGATAACAGTGACTAATCTCTAATTATGAGTAACATTTTTTTAGTTCGTCCCTAGAGTATCCACCCGCCAATAGCAGTGATTAATCTTCTTGCTACATTGGAGGCCCCATAAAGGGTAAGATAGCTGGTCCCAAGATTTAAAACGACTGCATACTCAAGGCAGGATTCGAACCCCTGACTTTGCTTAAGCATGGATCAACCCCTACCGCTGAACCACACGCTTGGGTGTAATCCAATAAAATCGGAGTTTATCTTTTAAATAATTTTTTATTTCCTGAGTTTTTATTTTGGTCTTTATAATTTTTTTCATCCTTTTTAAGTTTATAAACATTATTTTGATTTTTTTTAAAATGAATAAATTTCAATTTTAAACCTTTTAAAATATTTTTTTTATTTTCATTTTTCTAAAATTTTAAATTTTATATTTTTTATTTTTAATGGTCATTTTAATGTAAATAAATTAATAATTAGATATAATAATTCGTTTTCTATTTTGCCTTAATTATATTTTTTAATATTGTTATCGTGTGATTTTGATATTGATTTTTAAGATTTTAATTTAATGATTTTAATCATTCAATACGATTTTGTTTTTTAAAATTTTTTATTAAATAATTTAATTTTTTATGTATTATAATTGAGGAAGGTTAAAACGATATCGGTGTAATTTTTATTAAGTATTACACTGCCTAATAATTTTGTATTAAATATAAATTTTGTAAATCCAACCGTTAGATTGAAAATTCATATATCTTATATCATATATACAAAATTTATATTAATCCAAGATGTTTTGATATTTCACTCCTATAAAACAAAATTGACGTAATATATACATTTTAAAATATAATAAAATATGAACATTTTTTAAACGTAGGAAAAAAAAAACCAATGTGACTGATTTAGTAGCTCGGAACGGGCCATTCCGAAACTGGAACGGGCCATTCCAAACTACTAAATTGACCTGAAAAACATAGTTGAGAACGGGCCGTTCTGGAGGGAGAACGGGCCGTTCCGGAGGGAGTACGGGCCGTTCTGGATGGAGAACGGGTCGTTCTGGATGAGTACCAAAACA